CAACTTCTATCGGTTCTGCGGTAAGGGTCCTCCAATTCTTTTACACTTCCAAAGCAATCTTCGGGACAACATAAATTAAAATAAAAATTCCAAAACACTGCTATTCAATTGTCTCAATTATTAATAATTCTGACTCAATGTGTGGGAAAATGAAATGAATTAATTTTAAAGATACAGTCCTTATTCCGACTCCGAGTCCTCACAGTACAGATTCCTCTGCAAGTAAAGCCCAGCAAGCTCCCGCGTGTATTTTTCACACACTCACCCTTCTCCCTGTCCTTGGGTTTGCGTACGTAATCCAAATTTGCCTAAACTTCCTTCTATGCATCTCAGATGTTAATAGTAACTCCAAGCTCAGCAGTTTCTTAAAAGATAATTGAGAACTAAAGTTTTGAGTTCATATATCTTTGCTGTTGTCTAAATATTTAAATGAGGTTTCTCTGGGCAAGAGTGCAATATAATAAGCAGATATTGGTGTGAGTAAATATGTAGGAGAGTATAATGTAATTTGCAAAATATTAGCATGAGAACAACTAAAGATTCCGGCGATAGAGAAGAGAAAGCAGAGGAGTGAATGGGTATGTTGGCAAAAATCAATGATTTTGACAATGTCCTACTAATGCAAAAGAAGTGCCTTGAGATTCTTGAAATTCGTCTAGTTTGTCCATTTCCTAGTTCAGTAACAAAAGAAAACGTGTTGCTTTCGTTTTTAGCTGACATACAAAACAAGTAGTGGCTGGCTGGTTGTCTCACTCTAATTGCCCACATAGACATCACCTACACGTCTGTCGTTTTAGTCAGTGGGTGTCTTCAAGAATTAACTAAGCATAAATTAATAAATGAAAACCCAAAATTAAATATACTATTGAACTCTAACAAAATATGTGTTTTTTTTCTCTCTCTTTACGTTAGCTACATGTATCTCCTCAGAACTCCGCTCCTTCTCTCCCCTGCTCTCATATAGTCATGTACGGAATGTGTGAGCTCATTTACAAGCCAACACCCGTGGCCCATCATTCAACAAGGTTTTTAACATTTTGTTGCATTCTAGATGATCAAAATAGACAAATATCTGGTGGGATTATGTGGACTGTTTCATTAAGATGGTGGCCTCTAGCTATTCTCATGCATGAATTCATTTCATATTCGGGCAAAACATCGACTGATATTTAGATAACACTCTTCCCTATATTCGGGCATAACTTTTTTTTTTTTGGGGTGAGATATACGATCATAATTTAAATAAACTAAAATATATGCATTTAGAATTTCTAAAAAAGTATTATTACAGTTTTATTCCCATAACCCAAATGATCAACCACCCTTGGATAACATTCCACTACGCATACGGATCATACGGGCAAGAGGTCCTCATTATACATATCATTTATTAACTAAAGACACGCGACAGAGCAGAACGATGGTATTAAAAATTGTATCAGCAGCTTACTCTTGTGAAGCTGCAGATGAGAGTTTGCTTTGAGTATGAGAGGAGGCCGTTGAAGAGTTGCTCCTTACCTGTGACTCTGGTTGGAGCTCGAGTTTGAATCAGTGAAGAACACAATATTTGCCTGGTCTTCTTCAAGAAATAATTTGAGGGATCTCGGAACTGGAGGCAGCTTGATACCCGACACCCCCTCAAGGATTTGAACCACCTGACCCATGGATGGCCTCTGAGTTTCATCATCTTGGACACACCAAGCGGCAACTTTTAGTATTCGTGCCACCTCGTCCATGTCTGCATTTCCCCCCAACTTTGGGTCTAATAGGCTAGGCATATTTCCACCTTGGATTACAACATTTGTAGCCCAAGTAGGGAAGAACTTAACTCGGCCATCTTCAGATGGCTCAGAGTTTCTCCTGCCTGACACAAATTCAAAAAGCATCATCCCATAGCTGTAAACATCAGCTTTAGCTGTGATAGCCACCCCAGATATCCACTCTGGAGCAAGATAGCCTCTTGTTCCTCTCATGGTTGTAAGAACCCTACTAAAATCTCGTCCAACTAGCTTTGCAAGGCCGAAGTCAGCAATTTTTGGACAAAAACCAGCATCAAGGAGAATGTTTTCTGGTTTGATGTCACAGTGTATAATACAATCTCTACACTTTTCATGGAGGTAAGTTAATCCCCTCGCTGTTCCAAGGGCAATTTGGTACCTCATTTCCCAGTCCAAAATCTCAAATCTGTTTTCTTGAAACAGATGGGAATTCAAAGAACTATTTGGCATGTAATCATAGACAAGCAGTTTTCTCGCTCCTTCGGAACAAAACCCTCTAAGTCGGACCAAATTTACATGTTGGACTGTTCCGATTGTACTGACTTCTGTACGAAACTGCTTCTCACCTTGGCTAATGCCTTCAAGCTTCTTCACTGCTATAACATTAGAATCTGGCAATGTTCCTTTGAACACAGAACCAAAACCTCCTCCTCCTAGCTTCTCTGAGAAATTCCTCGTCGCGTTTTGCAAATCTCTATACCCATATGCCATCAATGAACCCTCTACAGATTTTCTTGTTTGAACAATTCTCTTTCTTCGCCTTATCATCACAAGTATAGCTAGGAGAATCCCGATACCTCCCACCGACCCTGCAACAATACCAATAGTCGTCCCCTTATTGTTTTCAGAGTCAGGAAACTCGGAAGCTGCAAGCCTGAGATATAAAGTTTCTCCACTGCTGTCATCTTGAGAGAGTTGTTGGAGATTTAAGAGATTTTCATGCCAAATTGAACACCCATTACTATCGTATCCATAAGCAGCACATGAACAATTGCTCAAGCAGGTTGATTGGCATTCCTCTGCATTCCCTGCTCTAACAGATAGAGAATTTTTAGGCAATTTCATGTTCGGCGTTTCTTGGAACTTGTCCTTTTTTCCATTCGAAGAATTGGAGTCCTCACAATGGATTTTTGTTTTCCTCTCACAGCCTCCTGAGTAATCCTTCAGAGTCCAATTGCTCTGGAACTTCGGCTCAAAGCCAAGTAAACAAGTACAAGATGGCATGGAATTCTCGTTACAGATTCCAAATGCACCACAGAATGCATAAACCTCACATTGCTGTCTTGGCTGTGACCAAAACAAGTTCCATTGTTGGCTAGCTTCTAACCATGTAAATTGCTTGATTTGCCCCGAGACATCCATCACAAATCGTGATATAATACTATTATTATACACAGTGTAGGTGAAATAGCTCTCGTTCTCGTTTGTCTCGAATGTGAAATTGTAGATGTAATTTAACCTCATTTCTGGTACCAAACTGAAAATTTGTCCATTCCAAGAACCACTGGTCCAATACTGTTCAGACTTGTTCCAAAGAATGAGATAGGCCGTGCTTCCTTTGGGGTCTAGCTCTAGAGAGAAAAGGCCTTCTGCAGGGTCCTCGCTATTCTTCCATGAAGTGAGATATTGAGGCTGCTTTGTTCTGTTATTTAATTTTATTTTACCTCCTGGAAGCCAGGTATCAGTTGGATGATCAAAGCTCTGCCAAAGGAAATCTTTTGTTGCATTTGACCTATCTCTCAAAACTAGATTCCCACTATCAAGAAGGACCGCTTCTACAGGACTTGAGGATGGAAAAGTCAAGTTTGTTGACCAAACAATCTTTTGAGACCCGTCCAAGAGAACTAAATTACCATCCGATATTTCTAACTTGGCGGAATGTTTGTGAGGGACGGGTTTGTTTCTGTTAGCTACCCAAACATAGGTCTCTTGAGAGACCTTTTTGTACCATATGCCTATGTAGTAATTAGAGGAATTACCTGGCTTGAAGAATCCCAACTCAAAGACGCCTTCCTCGGATATCAGAGTTTGATCGCCAGAAAGAGATTGATTTGCAGAGATGGAAGTAAAAGCTCCAAAAGAAGAATGAATGATAAAACAGAAGCAGAGGATGAGAACTGAAATCCAGAACCATGGTCTCTTCATGCTGTCCATGGCTCCTCAGTTCAGAAAGTAGTGGATAGATGTTTGGTTAAGTGGGAGAGGCGATGTTGGGCAGTAATACTGAGCTGGTTGAGTCTGAAGGAGGAAGGTGACGGGTGATGCTACTTACAATATCATATATGGCCCTACCACCAGCAAAAGTCAAGCCAAACCTTTTATCATTCTTGTTAATTTTCAGTAGAGATAGATGGTGATCACTTGAGAATGTTGATCCAGTCATCGCCGTGTAAAACAATGCAGAAGACAAGTATTATCATCGCATAGCGATAGAACGAATGGTCAGGTCGCTCGGTGGACATCACTAATCACATTCTCAAGTTGAAATATCAACATTTTCATATATTCTAGAGCTTCCACGCTTTTATTCAACATTCCACGCAGACTGTTTTGGTTCTCTTGTCCAGTGTGCGTATTTTTGTTACATTCTGCGTAGCGTATTTTACGGCAGGTAGTCAAGCGCAAATGGTATGGAAATCCAAGGAGTTTTAATTGATGGTCATGCGTAATTTTAAAGGAATCTAGAAACAGAAAGGGAGGATGAAGAACAAAAGAAATTAAAATCTTGAATTGGGATTTGTTCTGGACCAAACATGGAAGGAAAATTCTCAGTCATCAAAAGTCAAGAAATCTACACACTCTTCTCATACGAGTTGTCAAATTACAGGAAATTCCAGACTACTCTATTACTATATACTCCTGTAAATTACTTGTTGGCTAATTAATGGTGTTTTTCAATTTTACTTCTATTGAATACGATAAAAAATAGGTAAGAGAAAACACAACATATTTTTTATCAATAAACTTTCTTTAATAGGGGCAAGAGTGAAAAATTTTATCAATTTAATTTTTTTTTTGTTATGCAAGAATAAGATACAAATGACCTGAGAATATCAGAGCATTATCTAGACACAATGTAACTACTGTAACAAATTGTATTATGAGTCAAATGATTAGCTCTTCCTCAACTCGTTGCACCACACGAAACTAGTTAATAGTTATCCCTGAAAGTCTTTTCAGCCAGACCGAAATGAAGTTCTTACCAGTAATCATAGGATGTTGCTGTTTTTCCTCAACTTTACTACAATTCCATCGCGAAAAATGATTTCGTCATAACTCAAACAACTGATTCTTGCCAAAAAAACATTTGCCGAGCATTTTCTTTCCAAAGATATTTCTTCAGGAAAATAATACACAGCTTCTCTCCCTTGCTGAAGTTAGGCCGAACATGGCTTCCAAACAAATATTACATCTGAGAAACATAAGAAATCATATTTCATCCTGATCTCCATAACAAACATTCTATACAAAGAGGATTACAATGCAGTGATGCGCCGTTAAAAATTCTGGAGTTGAGGAACTAGGCAGATCATAACTCGCAAGGGGACTTCCGAGGTAGTTTCTGAACTCCATGAATGCTCATAATCCTTTATTTTCGGAACCATCTTCCAAGACGGTTCTCAGCTATTATGAGGACCGTCATTTTCCGATATTTTTGCTCCACGCCCCCTTCTTCTCAATATACTGAATTTGGTCGAGCGAGATCCTGAAGACTTAACCTTCAATGTCTTTCGTCTTTTGCTCTCTGACTTGACAAATTCATCATCGAGAGTTGAAGCTTTGGTGCTGACAGCGACTACTCTTTCAATGGTTCCTTTGCTTGTATGCTTCATATGCAACTGTCTTGCAGGCTGCGTGATTCCACAGTGTCTACCTAGATAGTACATTGGCTCGATATAACATGATGACGAAGATACAATGCCCTTCAGGGTGTTTGGTCGGACAAGCTTCACAAATTCCTTTAACTCTGCAAAATTTGAGTGATCAGAGTATGGGACTGAATAAATGTACTCATGAAACCTTTCTAATGGTCCTGTATTTCCAACTTGCCGATCACTTTGGACCTCACAATTTGCACTCCATGGAGCTCTTTCAGAACGAGATATCCGGAAGGAACCAGCATGAGTTCCACTCATTTGAAGGCCCGTCTTCAGCCACGGAAGACCTGAAGCCATGATTCCTATAGTTGGATGAACTTTATTGAGTGCCTCTAATGTTTCGATGCTAAAGCTGTACCGAGGGACAGCTCTCACTCTAGTAAGAGAAGTGTTTGTGGTAAAAATATCATGAAATCCAAGAAGATGCATAGTCCGCAAGCGCTCTGGCCACACCCAAATCTTCAGTTGAAAATAGAAGCTAACGAGTGAAAAATTAAACCAGAGGAGTACAAATTCCAAAATTTTATCATTCCAACCAAAGGAAAAAACGAAGTTCTGTATAAGAATTACAGAATATGCAGATAATATATGATGTTGAAAACCAATATAGAAACATACGCATTGATTCTAATAGAATATCGAGACAGGCCAAGGTATAAAAAATTGTTTAAGATGAGCAGATCACAGTGATGCGTTGGAAAGAGCCTTGCTAGTTTGATTTAATGACCTAACTATTTTTCCCTCTGTCCTTGCTACGATATTATTAAAGTCGACCCAGTGTGGTGAACTGAATTTTGTGGCTTACTCTCAAGAATGGATAGGAAGAGACCTTTATTTTAAGCACGCGTGCAATATGATGCAAAAGATCCTCTTTCCCCAAAGTGTCAATCCCAATAATGATGTCGTGCTCAGGATGGGACAAAATGATGTTAACAACCTGAAATCAGAACTCCAATAATTCAGAAAATTATTCTTTTTAAGACACTCATGCATCCTAAACTAACTCAAACCAATTCTGCAAGAAGCTCAGTTGATGACACTATGCTTTAATTTTCCCATTTTCTTCGTCATTATCTGTGACAGACACCAAGTTTATAAACTGCTTTTCCGACTCCAGAAATCCTAATATTATTACACATTAGATTCAAGGTAAAAATATCCCAAAACTAATCATACAAGATTATAGCACAGGACGCACCATTGTCCATGGACCATATGGTGTTGCAAAAAAAATAAATAAATAAAAAATCAAAAGCTGCATGCTGAAAAATAGTACAGATTCTGGTTAACTAGCTGCATTTAAAACGATAGACTTCCAGCTCAAACCAACCCCCGGCTTCTTGACTGGAGAAATGGCACGGTTACTAGCTGTCAAAGTGAGCTCATCGAAACATAATTGGTCCCCTTAAACTGCTATGGGTGGGAGTGTACCTGGTTAGCCGCGATTTGTCGAGGGGGGAAATCATACGAAGGGTTGCAGTATGTATTATCCAGGTGAATAATGTCAACCACTTGATCCTTGAGAGCGCCGAGGAGCATGTCCCTGCTCCTCATGGCCCTCTCGCAAGTTGCTTCCCAACGAAAGTCGCCAGTATAAAGCAAGCAGCCAAACTCACCACGGAACACGAGCATCACCGAACCTGTCGTCAGAGAAACATTATCTTAATGGGGATTACAAGTTTCTTCACAATTTCAGAACAGTACATCTAACGTTTCACCATGAATATTGAATAACTTGAGTCTAGTGGTAAATTCTAGAGAAATAATTCTCTCAGGAAATTGAGCGAACAGTTAACAGGCAATAAAAGGCAGAATTACCAGGACAGTGGATAGCGTCGATGGCCATGACCTGGAGGTGTGTCTCAGAGCCACATGGCGAGAGAAGAGAAAGGGAGTGCCAGGTGCCAATTTGGAGGATGCGAATCAAGGAGAGGTTGAATTCGGGAAATTTGAAAGGGAAGAGTTTGGCGGTGGTGCGGGAACAGAAGAGAGGACCATTGGCCCAGGAAGAAGAGAGGCCGTTGGTGTGGTCGGAGTGAAGGTGAGTCAGGAAATACGCCTGACTGCCCGCCGCCCAACGATCCACCGAAACCAACCTACTGACCATTTCCCTACGGAGGAACTGGAGAGTGAGAGCCTGAGAGGCCAAGTGACATGCGTGCTTGCGACAGTGGGCACCGCGCGTTTTTATCGGCGGGAAATGAATCCCAAGTTTTGAAATTGAAAGTCTTTTCATTTTACGACAGTTAGTCCAAAAAACATACTACTTCTCATATTTAATATAAGATCCTATTTAATTTTTATTTTGATTTTAAATATAAGATCTCAATTTATTTTATCTCTCATATTTATATATATTTTTTTCAAAATAACCGTTCTAATCATAATAGTTATAGTCAAAATATTTTATTAATAAGGATATTTTAGGAAAGACAACACACAAATAACTAACTTAACTTACTTTCTTAATCTTTTCAAATTACTCAACTGGTTCTTATAATTAGGACCAGAGGTAATATTTGGATAGAAACCAAATCATAATTTTAAAAATATTTTTACAGTATATGAAATAAATATATAAAAAAAATATCTTTTAAAAGTATTTTTCTACCTTATCAAACACCTTCTAAGTTTCTAGCTAGACTTGACTCTATGAGCGGCCTCCAGGTAGAGCTGGGAATCAGGACCGGCCCGGCCTTTCAGGGCTAGCGGGCTTAAAAGGGCCAGCCCTTCAGAGCTGAAATTTTAAAAATACGCCAATTTGTCAGGCCTGACCCTTAAACTATAGGGTCAGGGCCGGCCCGCGGGCTTTTGGCCCGTTTTAGAAAAAATACTATTTTTTATATTTATCATATTTTTTTATAAAAATATAAAAATAAACCAATGAAATTATTAATAAAAGATATAAATATGAATAAAATTAAGTCACAAATATAAAATATTATCATATATAAATATTCATCAACATCTAATAACATCTAAAACATTCATTAATAAGATAACAACATCTAAAAGTTTTATCTATAATACAATTGTGCAATAAATAAACACTATTATTAATCTTTTGAAACTTCATCATCACTATAATTAATTATTTTTCTTCATAAGTATGCTTTTCTTTCGTAACAAAAATATCAAGTTTTTCTTCTTTATAAGAATTTTATTTTTAAATTTTGCAATCTAACTATTATTTTACTTTAATGTGAGAAATATTGTTGTTGAAACTCATGAATTTCTAATTCAAATTATAGAATCACAAGTTATATAAGTATAAAAATATTCTATTATCAAATATATATATATATATAGTTTAAAAATATTAACATATATAATATAAATCAAATCATTATTAAAGTCCAAATTAACCCATTTTTTAAAAATTTAATTGGATAAATTATTGTCTAAAACTAAATTTAATTTTAAAATGATAATAATAACTAAATATTTGAAATATTATTAACAATGTAAAAAATTAATAACATTAATATTATATAAAAAATTTTAAAAAATAAAAAAATTATAAAATGGCTTAAAAGGGCCGGCCTTTTAAGCCTTCGGCCCTCCAGGGCTTATTTCTCATTTTAAGAGAAAAATATCAAGCCCGGCCCTCATAATTTCAGGGCCTAAAAGGGCCGGCCCGACGGGCTCAGCCCATTTTCCCGGCTCTACCTCCAGGTGTGATTAGGTGCATGTTTTCTTTCCGTCTCCCCTAGAGTTGCAGGGTTGTTTGGAATCTTTTCTATTTTTTTAGTCTTTTAATTTATCAAATAAAAAAATAAATATATAAAAGATTTTTACCTCAATTTTTTTTTTTTACCGGAATACCTCAATTTACTTAAAATATGCTTATAAATAGTTTTAAATATAAAGACAAATGAAGCCATAACCTATAACTCGTAAGCAAGCAAAGCCAATTTTTAGTGGGCTATTAGCAATGTTTTAAAAGCCGGACCGGAAGTCGAACCGGAAAGATCAACGGGTCATGGTTCAATCGGTCGGATCGGTCGGACCGTTTGGTCAGACCGGTGATGCAATAATTAATTTAAAACAATATTATATACATATAATTAGTATATATGAAAAATATCAAATTATTAAATAATTTAGAAATGCATTTAAATAATCTAAAATTATAATGAAATCATTGAAAATGGACTAAAACCTTATATATTTAAATTTATGTATGTTTAAAATATTTAATGATATTACAAATTATCAATTCATTCAAATCAAAATATTTTTTAAACGATAGACCAAATATCAAAACAAAAAGACTAGCGACTTACAATTTTAACACCACAATATATGAAATTTTCAATGAAATAATACTCTATGGTTATAAATAGTCTAAAAATATATTAGGATATTTAAGGGGATCAATTTTTTTTATTTTTCTTCTATTTTTTTTTAAATTTTTAGTATTTTTTCAGTCAGGCTAAAAAACCGTCCGGTTTTCTGAAAACCGTTCCGGTTCCCGGTCCAACTCCGGTTTCCGGCTTAATAACGGCTCAACTCCGGTCCAATCCGGCTCAACTATATAAACGGTTTTTTGGTCCAAACCGAGCCGTTAACGAGTCCGGGTCACGGTTCAACCGGTTCGACCGTCCGGTCCGGTCCGGTTCTTAAAACATTGGCTATTAGCATTAGTTTTGTCTGAATGATTGATTTTACTTTATTCATTTTTTTTAAAAATAAAGATATATTTTTAGTCTTTTATTATGTAAAATTTTATTTTGTTTCATTAATTTTATAAAATTTAAAAAATACTGATATTAAAATTTTAAATGTTGACAAAAGATTTTCATTCATATTAAATTCAATTTTTTTAAATTATAATTATTGAAAAAATCATTTCTAAATAACAAATAGATATTTTATAAAATTGAGGACAAATTGTAGAAAAAGACCACCAAAATTAAATAATTACATATAAGGACCCGTTCATAAAATTGTTGTTAAAACTTATACTATTATCATCAAAACTCAAACTAATATTATAACAGGCCTCTATTTATAATTTTTTTTTATTTTAGCGGTCTATTTTTTGTAATTTTTCCTAAAATTAATGAGTTAAATCTGAAAATTTAGATAAGATTAAAGAATCGAAAATAATTTTTCATTTTCTTAAGAAAAATATAAGGCCCTTTTAAGTTTCGCCCAAAAGAAAACCCCTTTTATTTATTTTAATTTTTTTCACAATTGTAACTCAAAATTTTTATCGTGAATCCATTCTCGCAATGCCCATCCTCCATCCACCTCTGATCACGTAGGGATTACTGATTAGACAAGTTTTATTTTTTAACAACAAAATTAAATGGTATAAATCCAATAATTTTGTTTAGGAAATAATTTTTTTTCCAATTTCAATAATGTTATTATTGCTTATTTAGCGATGTTGTTTTAAAATATTCTCAAAACAGGGGTAAAATTTTCATGTTATTTATATTAGATAATTTGTTGCCTTTTTTATTTTTGTTTTATTTTATGGACCAAGCAGGAGGAAGTCTTTACAGACTTACATGTTCTTCCTTGTTTGGTACCTGATACATAATATCTTTGATTTTTACTTCTTTAAACTTGATGCTCTGCGTCAAGCTCCAAGCATCATCCTTATCATTTATAACACAACCGTTATATGGTTTTTTCCGGTGTATAAGGGAGAAAAACACAACGAACAGATGTAAGCACAAGGACACAAATGTATGAATCCCCAGGACAAATTCTGTTCAAGTAATAAGATCGTCAGTCTGCTGCTTTTCCAAACAAAAAGCAAAGGTGATAAATATGCCCCAAAAGGTATTTTTAAGGAGAGTCTATTGTTTTGCCCTCGGCGTGAGTTTTTCAAACTGGTCTTCACGGAGCGTCCCATATAAATATCAAATGCCCTTTTGGTCGCAGAGGATACCGCCAAAAGGAAACCATCCAATTCCCAAACACGGGGGACCATTGAAAAAAAAAAGCGCTTAGATCTGACCAGGCCAAATAAGACCAAAACTTGGCAGAAAGATAGAACGTTAATTTGATTAGAAACCGCAATTGGAATGTCACTGACAAAGGATTTGAAGGGGCGCTGTTCTGGTTGTTTGTCACGTGGCATTTGCAGGGAAGAAGTTGTTGTACTCGTATTTAGGATGGTTAGAGAAAACCTGGCAGTCGGCACCCCCTCTTGCCTCCCCAGTTCAAGCACCGTTCATTTATGTTGTTATTGGTGCGCGCGTCAGTGACTGAGAGGCAGGACTGGTAAGTGAAAGATACCGGCTTTATCCCGGGAAGCTGATTTTCTGGTTTGATTTGCGGGGAGTAAAAGCCAAGGGGAATTGGAGAGCAATTAAGATGCATCTATTAATTTTAAATATTTGTCTAAGAGCGTTTAGTACTTTAAATTAACCCGCGATTCATTCAGCATGCCCAATATTTTAAAATGTTTTTGTGCAATTTCAAACTCAATCTTCGATAAAAAAAAAAAAACATAAAAAGCAAAAACTTAAAAGACCGAGTGTTATTAGAAAGATATTTTAGGAAGCTGAGTATATAAGAGAATCATTGTAAAAATATTTCAGGAGACTAGATTAATCATAAATTAGCTTAACTGAGCCTTATGATTAGAATAATCATATGCAGGTTTCTTTGTTTTTTTTTTGGGTCAAAGAATAAATGAATAATCATATGGAGGTTAGGGATTTAGGAAGGAGAAGTCGCATGTGGCAAAACTTGGGTTGGGCCTGGAACTGGCATATAAACCGAAGATGCAATACCCGCAGGCTGTATTGTCTCCAACAAACTCACGCCACACGTACGTTGAGTCCATGCACCAACAGGATTAGTCTAGTAAAAAAAACAAATCCATCACAGCGTAGGAAACTAAAATTTAAATTTTTGCTAAGAGAGATACTTATATTTAGTACTGACAGTATTTTGAATAGCCTTACTTTTTTATGCTTTAACAAAAAAATTTTTTTGAGCCCGTGCATGCCAACAACCCTGTATTCATGACATCTGACCCAGCAAGTAATCCCCACTGTCCAACTCATCCCCGGGGGACCAAAATATCGTTGGCTTTCTTGTTCTGTATCACCTCATCTCTGTGTCACGCGCAATTGATTGGCCCATCTCCCTCAACCCCTCCTCGTCTCACCTCACCCTGTGAGTGTTCTCATTTCCCCCTTTCTTTCTCTCCTTGCCTTTCAATCCCAAAACAGCCTAACAAAAGAGGATTCTGATTTTGGTTCTCCACCGCCAAACCCTCGGGCCTCTCCATCATTAGTAAGGTGGATCCAACTCAAACTCATGCTTTATTTACCCAGTTTATTTTAATCCTTCAACTTTTCAAAATTTATTCGGATGGACTAAATTTAAAATTTAAAATTCAAAAGAAGACATATTAAATCTGACTTTTCCAATTTTGTTTCCCGTCTCAGGTCACAAATTTTGGGTGTGTTTAGATAAAACCAAACCGTGATTTAGAAAAGTGATTCTGGAGAATAGATTCTGGAAAGAATAGATTCTGGAAAGAATAGATTTTATAAAAAAGTGATTTTGAGAAATGAGAGTGTTTGGATAGTTGTTATCAGAAGTACTTTTTATATATACAAATTACTAAAAAAAAAGACATAAGTTAATATGATAATTACAGAAAAAATAGATTTTATGATATATTTTAATTTGAAGGAATAAAATTGTTAATGATATATTTTTTATTAACATAATTAATAATACATAAGATAATATAATTAATAAATAATTAATATGTATATATATTTATAAAATATAAGATTAAATATGTTTATAAAAAAAATAACAAGATACATATCCTATAGGCTCTCACACTCTTTCTTTTTTCTCCAAAAGCAAAAAAATTTTGCTTTTTCTAAAATCATGATTTTGGTTTTTAGATGAGTGTTTGGATGATTTATTCCCCAAACCATGGTTTGGGGTGTCACCCAATCACAGCCAAACTGTCGAGATAAATAACGAGATATCATGCAGCAGTCCATAACATGGGCGTGGCGTTGTTATCTAGTTTAATTAGAGATGGATGGTGAAAGCGAATAGCGTCGTGACTATTATGTGGTGACCAATATACCCCTCCCCCAGAAAGGAAAGGACCGCCGTCTCCATACAGACATTGACGGGGGATGCCATGTGCCAAATAAATGTACGAAATCCGAATGAAACAAGAGGGCAAGAAACCTTGGATTGACTCCGATGCCGTTTCGATTTGGTCACACATTTGTTTGAAATTCCTCCATTGACCTCGGTTCCTCTCTCTTCCTGATTTTCCGGTCGCCTAGCCATTGTCTCGGCGTTCGTCGGCATGAAGCGGCAATCCCAGGCCCGGCCCGAACCGGATCGCCCGGTCCCGACACAACAGCCCTCGTCTCCTGCCTCTCTCCTCGCGTCCGTTTCGACATCCGGTGCTCAGCGCAAAATCGCCATCGCCGTTGATCTGAGCGATGAGAGTGCTTATGCCGTCCGATGGGCTGCCCAGAACTATCTCCGCCCTGGAGACACGGTCATCCTCCTTCACGTGCGTCCCGTGAGCGCTCTCTACGGCGCTGACTGGGGCTCCGGTGATCTTAACCCGAACGATGCCGACACTGTCTCCGAAGAGTCGCAGCAAAAGTTGGAGGAAGATTTCGACAACTTCACGACCACCAAGGCCAGCGACTTGGCTCAACCACTCGTGGATGCTCAAATACCTTTCAAAATTCACATTGTCAAAGACCATGACATGAAGGAGCGGCTTTGCTTAGAAGTCGAGAGATTGGGACTTAGCGCCGTGATCATGGGGAGTCGAGGCTTTGGGGCAACCAAGAGAAGTACGAAGGGTAGGCTCGGGAGTGTCAGTGACTATTGCGTTCGCCACTGTGTTTGTCCTGTTGTGGTTGTGAGATACCCGGATGAGGAGGACCGAAGCAGCGGCGGTAAGTCCGCGGGCAAAGCAATAGTTGGGGAAGAGGTGGAGCTCTACCCGGTACCTGAGGAGGAGCATGAGGACCCCGATGCACCTGATGAACAGAAAGGTTTAGGCTTTGACCTTGGACTTTCCTGTGCTTCAACTTATAATCAAAATTTTTCCTCAAGTTAATATTTACTGAATATCTTGTCATCTTGATTGCATATGACTCTCACTTCCATTTGGTATTGAGCATTTATAACTTGAATTGTGCGTGGTTGGAATTTTACTGCAGAGCGATAACTTCTGGCAGAAATGTTGACCCTATTTTGCTGTTTGAATGTAAATTGCAGGGACGTAATTTGAATTGAATATGTTTAGAAGTTCCTCTAACAACCTAGATTTACAAAATGAGTCAACTGGTCACTTAGCCTTCTTCGAGGACTGTCGGAAATCTGTTTTGTCTGCAGCATAGCTTTGATTTTGCTTATAAATGAATAATATAGCCGAGTGACGCTATACTGTAGTCTTGTTCACCTTTCGCATCAATTTGTGCCCTTTGTCTCTAGACTTACTAGTGCTTGCCTGGCTCTGAAAAACAAACCGGCTTTGAGGTTCTTGTGGCTGTATGAACTTTTTGGTAAGATGTATTAGAGCGCTGTTCTGTTAGTTCGAAATGAGATTATTCTCCATGATCTCTTCCTTTTTTCTGTTTTTGCACGCAAAATAATATACGTCTATGCTCGATGATGTTCTCTTCAATAAAGGCCTTCGGATGTAAACATGTTAGATGTAGTCTTCCCACTCTATATGGTGGAGCTGCGAAGGTGTCATGGTATTTTACTTTTTCATGTGTATAACTCTATAATTCATATTTTGCTACCAGAAGTCTTACGTTTCGTCGGTGTCTTCCTAAATAACATTGAAATTTTATCACGTAAACCGTGTTCCACTCAAATATCTCTGCTAAGATTGTGTTACGATTTCAGATGTTTATGGTCTTTTCCAACGCGTGTGGCTGCTGTGGCATTATTTGCACAAAACCATAGGTTATACTTCTCCGGTTCTAAATATAAGACTCTTATACTATGAGAGTATTGTATTTAGGACTGGAGGAGTATTAACTATGGTGCTGGCAGAAACAGAGCTACCGATTGGAATGGCAAAAAAATCATTTGACTACGTCTGTTATTAAAGAACATGGGTGCTCTGGTGTTGCATACCATTGATATTTGATGTTACCTTGTTTAATTTTAATCATCTTTTGACTTGTCAACAGATGCTGAATGATGGGTCAGAGCATATTGACCTCACTTCAAGGGCAGTGCTTGAATAACTCCTTCAATTTGTTAGTGATCATTTTCTCCTTCCTTGTTTTCTCTTGTTGGCTGTTATAGACTCCCCTTGACCTTTCTGTCGTAATTTGTAACGAAATATGTATTTAGCACATCCTTTTCTGCACTTTTCCCCTGCTGGGAGAAGGAAGGTTTCGGAGGAGCGGTATTCCATGTTTACTCTTTGAATATTTAGTGTATTTATGCAACACAATTGTAAAATTTCTATACATTTAGTTGAAATGTCAAGAAGGTCAAGTCCAAAGTTGTAGATCTTCATAGGCTTGGCTTGATGTTCACTTGTGCCGCTAGCTTAGATTTTGCCACATCCTGTTATAGCTTATTAATCTTAAGTTCATTTATGCTCTGGTATGTGGAGTTGGATGGCTTAAATTCAGTTCAAGCATGTTAAAACAGAGACGTGGGAATCTAAATCATTGGGCCCAAAGCCCAATTACAAAGAGAAAGTGAAGAAAATGAGGTAAACAGGGGGGCTATCTGGCATGGCATAAGGTGGTACCATGGAATTCGATTACGAGAGTGTTTGGCTTTCTTCTCTACATATTTACTTTATATATCATAAAAATGCTTTTAAAATTATGGTTTTGATTCTATCCAAACATCTTACACTTCTCTGCCCTTTCCCTCATCTACCATTTTTTATCCATTTACTATTATTCAATTAAAATTTTAATAATTTAGATTTAATATTTTATAAAAGTATTATTATAATTTTGGCTAAAAAATATGTATGTAAATTTAAATTGTTAAAATTTGATTGTAACAGCTCACAACTACAGTGAATAGTGAAAAAGAGAGGAAAGATATATTTTCTTTTTTATTATAATAATAATAATAATAATAATAATAATAATAATAATAATCAATAACAGTTCAAACTTGAATTTAACGGTTTGAATTTATTTATATAAAATTATGACTATTTTATAAAATGATCAATTTAGATCATTAAAATTTTTAATTTAACAGTAGTAAAAAGAAATGGAGAGTAGATGAGTATTCACTCCCGCTGCGGTGGAAGTCATGGAGAAACAAGGGCTAAGCATCATGTGACGCACGAGTCTATTGTAAAGGTGGCATCCTATTTTTGCAAACTGAGCTTATGTCTTGAAGTAAAAACTAGCATGTTATATCAGGCCATGAAAACAAAAGGCATGTTATACAAGTCTAACACAGCAAACACATGAATAAAGCCGTAAAGTAGTCCAGCAGTAAACAGAAGAACACTGAAACACAGGCTACAACATAAACCGACACTGCATTTTGCAATTGAAAATCATTTCATAAAGCTCCAAGAGTTCCCTCGCTGCGACTCTTGCGAATGGAGAGGCCTTGTCCTAAGTTTAACAGTTTGCCGACGACGTCAAAATGATTTCGGCTTTGGGAGGTCACTTTGGCTCCAGTTGGCGGGAGGTGCATTTTGCCTTTTGAGTGTTTCCATGACTCCACCGTCTTCGTTCTACGAGCATGAACAGTGGTGGTGCTAGGTGTTGATGGCCGCCGTGATCCTCCGACGTGGCTGCCCTTCCTTGCGGTCTTGTGATCTAATCTAAGGCTACGATCGGACTGATGAGCGTTCATGCCTAAACGCACTGACCGATCTGCACCATCTTTCAAAGTGCCGGCTTTCATAGGCTGCCGATTGTAGTAAGCAAGATGGGGAAGAAGGCCTTGCAGATATTTCTTTAGTTGTTCGTTTCCCACATTTTTCTGGGCTGGGTTTCCTTCCAAGCTGATAGCTTGCAGGGAGTTATAGTTAGCAGCAAGCTGACCCAGACATTTCGCTGTTGATATTTTGTTGAAACGAAGATCCAGTACATTGAGTTTCAAGAGGCGGTGCAGCCCCTCTACTTCGCTGATCTTGTTTCCAGCCAGGTACAGCTCTTTAAGAGATGAACAAGAAGCTAGCCCTTTGATGTCGTCCGAAAAAATCGACAAAAAAAAAAGGTAAATTAAGATTTCAGCAATCAAAATTTTAAGGTGATGATAGCTAGCACTGAAAATATATTCTAGAATTGATCCTACCATGTCCAATTCTTAATATACGATTGTAGCTCAGGTCCAAAACACGGAGTCGCGTTAGTTCACGTAATCCCTCAATGGTTGATATATTGTTTTTGGACAAGTTCAAAACGTGTAGTCCACGGGGAAGAGCACCCACCGTTATCCTCCCTGGAAATATAATTAAAACAGAGATCAGCGATGGAGAAAAGGTAACCTGGCCATGGTTCATGGGCTTCATGAGATTGATAGAGTTAAACGTAAAAAAGTAACCCAAAAAAAAAAAAAAAACCAAAGTTCTTACTAACCGATAGCATTTCCAGACAAATTGAGCACCTTCAAAGTTACAAACACGCTAAGAAGCGGGATCGTAACCAACCCGCAATTAGCTAGATGGGCCGTAGTGGCATTAGGACTTAGGGAAGAGACATATCTCTTAGCAGCTTCCATGCTAGGAGTGACAATACCATCCACCCGGGCAGCAGCCACACTCTCTGACGTGTTAATGCAATTACCGTTTAAGGGACCAACTAATTCGGACGATTCAATTGTTTCCTCAGGAGGTCCATAATGTTCCAGACCAGTCACCCAGTCCTCAATACGCTTAATCCTAAAATCCTTGTTATCCAAATCATCCAAGTGCCGAACAGAGGACTCGCCTTTAAGGGTTTTGCTTCCATTTATATCATCTGTAAGAGGCATTACCCAGTCTCTTGCTGAACCACAGAGTGGATGAGCATCATAAACATCATCAAAGGAGCCATCCCCATCCATATGATTTTCTTCAATAGTGTCCATCTTTTTTCCCCTCGCTTGTCCCGAGCTAACTTGAATATCAGACTCACCGATGAAAGTATCTTTCAGCCTCAAGCTTAAAGCCTGAAGATCCTCAGAAGATCTGGACCTTGAAGCAGTATGTTCATCATAAGAGAATATTTCTGAAGATAATGCAGAAGCCATGATATTGGGAAAAGAACACGACTTAAGCATCAAAGTTGGGGCCCTGCGACCAGAAGTATGGTCGTCACCGGCACATCCGCCGGATAATGGAGTGTCAGAAGCTTCCGGGGCATCTTTTTCTAAAAGCGTTGGATCTTCAATTGAAAAAATCGAACCATCATTTCCTGGACCCAAACTGTCATGTATCTCTGAGTACTGGTTTGTTCTCCCCCTATCTGCCGCGTTTATATCACGATCCATTCTACATCCCGAAATCGTGGACTCATTGTGGCTTTCGGGATCATTATAAGAAAGTACATGATCTGAATAATCCTCAGCCAAGTTGTCAGTATAAAGCTTTCCCTCTTGGTAAAGTCCACTTTCTAGAGAGACACTTTTCTTAAGACGCCCGGTATGGCGAATTTCGTTTTCATGTTCATCATCTAACCTGTTTCTCAGATTCTCCGACATCCATCCACGCTCAACTGAAATCAAATTGCCACCCTTATCATTCAGTTTATTCAATTGTTCTCGTCCACGTGCATTTGAAATTAATGGGGTTGAGCCTGTAGGCACACCATTATTTGTAGAGGCTTGACTTTGGGAACCATCTTGCAGAGTCTTTGCCATTGCTTCAATAGAAGGTCGAACTACTTTCTGATAGAAAGGAAGCGCAATAAACCCCAAAAAAAAAAAAAGGAAGTACAAATCAGAAAGAGTCATACAGAGCATATTCCACTTACCTTTGGCTTGTTGTGAAGATCGGAATTGAAACAAGAAAACCTAATCGTCATAGCAATGGTGTGAAGAGCTACATCTAGACGCCTAAATTTCTTCCACGTAGAAATGCAACATCAAGGACAATCTACGCTGTTCATAAATTTTCCAGAAGCCAATTCCGAAACCCTTAATTTCTCCACTCAGTGGAAGAATAACGAAGAGCTTCTGGGGACCCGAGCACACACAACCTTAGCCATAATCAAGTGTCAAGCCCACAGTGACGCGGCACAATCTCCATATGTCAGGTGATCTTGATCTCCGTAAAACACAAAGCAGAATCGCTCGCTCACCATCACCCCACACCCTCCTTGAGGTGCGAGAAAAGTTTGACTGTTTTAAAGCTGCCAGAGTGGAAGAGAATCCTTTTCGACGAGTAGAACCCAGAGGAAATTGTGCATAAGAGATGTGTGCCTGGTCAATAGAACTGCGAGGATTGAGGTTGAACTGACATTATGCAGAGTACCATTTAATGACGATAACCACAAACCTACATGAACAAATAACTTAAAGTTTCAATGACTTGTTTAAAGAGGAATATGAAATATATCTAGCGATAATTTTAGTTCCCGATTGGAAGCTGTGGATGAACTGTTTGAAAAATTCCAAGAGTTTCTGTCTTTGCAACTTGGCTAGCTTGTGAAAATATATAAAACCAATCAACTTATGGAAATCCAGCGTTTGAATACATGAAAAGTTATCAATAAAATCTGCAGAAAACATTCCACTTCCACCGGATAAAAAGAGATAGAGATGTCAAATTTTCTAAAATAACCAAAGTATGCATTATGTATAAGACAACACCGATCAATCTCATGGACCAAGGGAACATGAACGACGAACCTCAGCCATGTCTGCCTATTTAGCAAAGATTTTAAGACACCTCCTGAGAATTAATTAGCAATAATTTGAGATTTTCAACAGATATGAATTTTCAAACCCAGATAAATATGATACTGCAGTAGCCGGCTTCTCCATAATGCAGCACAAATTGAAATCAAATGTTTCATCAGCACGCAGGAAGAGTGGATGATTAAAAGCCATCACAGAAACAAGCATTACCTTCGGTAACTATTCCATATAACCAAACGGATCCCGAAGAAAAACAAGGAATTATTTATAGAGTCGGAAAAGAAGAACCCAGGAATATAAAGGGAGGCGAGGAGTAATAGAGATCTAACCTCTCTGCAGCCAGATTGCGACGAAGGAAGTCGTCTTCTTCTCGGCTGCCAAGTCCCTCGTAGGCGGAAGCGGCCTTAATTATATAATTAACATGTTACATCCGGACGTACAAACACCGCCAAGCCAAACGCCAACCCTCGGGTCACAGACTCACAGCCGCGCATGTTCATGGTGTTCTGAAATGTGCGGCTCTGATTTCATATGATTTTATCCTCGGAGAAATTTTAGATAGTTTCCCTTAAATACTTAATTTATTAGCGTATTTTAATCAGAGTCTCATGTAGAATAAATCATAGTATATAAAATGTCATCATATCTTGATTTAATTGAAAACAAGCGCCTTTGAAGTATTTAAAGCTCTCTATATATAAATTCTTTCATTTATTTTTTTAGGCCAAAATAAAAGATTGCACAATTTTTTAACTATGACAACAGATGATATGAAGTTGAATTTGATTATGGTGGAACTTAAATAAGAAAAGTTCTCCCAATATTATTTTTTAATCTGCAAGATTGAAATATGCAATCTTATGGAAAATATCAATTAAAATCAATAAAATGAACGACTAAAAATGTAAAATGGATGAAGAAGAGGGACGGAGACCCAAAAAAAAAAAAAAGGAGATAGCTTTTACTTTTTGCATCACAATACAAACAGCATATGATGGTTGAAAAGTATTCGGATGAGAAGATAGTGCATGGTTGAAAATTCAAAGATTAACCCCCCAAAAAAAAAAATATACTTCTATCTTATTTCGCAGTACCTTTCGACGTTTTCTTTACTCCCTGTTTTTTATTATTAAAAATCTTGAAGCACCCATGAAATGCAAGAAAGGTTATTCTGTGTATTAAAAAAAAGGGAAGGGGGGCAAATAAAAATAATTTAATTGGTTGATAAAAGTGAAATAAAGAATAATTTATTTAAGAAAACAGGGGGCGAAATAAGAGGGAGGGAGACAAAGGAATAATCTGTGGCTGAAAAACAATAGTAAGGATTGTGTTCCAGATCGCCTTAACGCGATGACGTGCAATAGCAAATGTTGTCCGCAAACAAAACAGCATATGAGACTCCCTTTCTTCCTTTTTTTTCCCTTCAAGATAAAGAATGATCAATCTTACCGTTTCTTCCATCAATTGAATTGAACCAACCCCCAATTATTTGCTTCCCACATCTCTCCGTGTCAGCATAAAGCAGAGAATAGGCCCAATGGTTCTCGTCAAGGCAGTTCACAGTACTGATATTCAATCTTTGATGTCCACTAATCTTCCTCAATAATGCAGTAAGCCGATTGATTTCAACATGTGAATCACCTCGATTTGAAACATTTTGAAATGATCCCTGCCAAAGAGGGAAAAAAAAGAGAAAAGAAATAAAATATCGAGTGAAATAGACTGAAAGGATATTTGGATGGAAACTAAACCATGATTTTAAAAGTGTTTTTACAGTTTACAAAGTAAATATGCAGAGGAGTTTGCTTCGTTTTACGAAAAAGTGCTTTTCAAAAATGATTTTGAAGGTTACCAAACATCCCCTGATACACCCACCTAATTAGATATAACTTGATATTAAAATAAATGGAAGTTATATTATACATCATATCGAACCAACATTAAATAATAATAATAATGGTATGGATCCAGATGATGATATTGCAACCTCCCATCAATTTTAGGCCGCAACACAACACAATGGAGGAACTTGTTGGATGTGAGTTCATTTGGGGTGAGTCCACCACTTCTCTCTTTTTAACCATTAATTTAATTTTCTTTTAAAAAAATTAAGTCTTCGGCGGTTGAATTAAAACTTTCCAAACTATTTGTAACAAACAAACCTTTTCAAACGAGAGCATCCAAATTTATCTTGCTTAATTTATAATCAAAATATCACTATCTTTGATTCTCAATATAAGAGCTTGTTTGATTTTTGTTTTTATCCTAAATATAAGATCTCAATCTATGTCTCTCATATTTATTCATTTTTTTTTAAGATAGTCCTTATAATAATGGTAGTTCTAACCAATACACTTGATTATCAAAAATATCTTAAGTAAGATAACATCTATTTATTATAAATAATTAATTTAATTAATTTTTTAAATCTACTCAAATTAGTTAACTAGTTTGTATATTAAGGACCGGAGGTAATATTTAAAAGGGGAAAATATAACTTTTGGTCCCTCAAATTTAGGCCAATTTAGGTTTTGGTCTCTGAAATTTAAGACCGAAGGTATTGGTCTCTGGAATTTACTCCGTTACAAATGGTTAGTCCCTGGGAGTCATGTGCTGTTACATTTTGCTGAGGTGGTGCAAATGGTGTCAGTTATGATGATTTGGCTTCTGACTTAGCAATATGAGTTGATTAAGTGGTATAGGAGCTAGATATCTGATGTGGAAAATAAAAAAAATAAAACAAAGAAAGAAAAAAAAGAAGGCACTTGTTTAAAGAAAAAGAAGAGGACCCAAGAAAAAGACAGAGGACCCACATTAGACACTTGTGGGGGAGTAGAGAAAAACGACAGTGCATATGGAATAGAAGAAAGCAACGGGAAAGGCGCTAGGTTAAAGAGGACCCACACCTGCCGGTGAAGAGTGATGTGGCCTTCACTGGAATAGCAGCATTTCTGACAATGGTGGTGCTACAAAATTGAACCCACCATTTGGTTCTTCAATCATTCGTTGAAATGTGAAGAAGTAATATGTGTTTTGTATATAGTCGATTAACCCATGTTTGAGAAAAGTAAGGAGTCGGCTGGAGAAGGGGAAGGATGAGAACGGTGATTGATCCATCAATTGCATGTTTGGTTTAGAGTTGTTTGCTTTAGTTAGCCGTATAGTTGTTTATTGTTTTCGTTGGATTTTAACCGATTTAATTGCTTCGATCTTTGATCCTTTTCAGTATTGTGTCTTCGTGCATGCTCTGTTTTCAGTTTTTTCTGGAAGTTGTTGGCATGAGCAACAAGAGGGCGCTCATTTGATTTTATTTTATTATAGAGCACTGACCTATCAGTTTGAGCATCCGTATTGATTGGATTTGAAAATATCTAATGACTTGTTTTGTTAAAAATCATGTCAAGGCTGATAAGTATCGTAATAAAGGGATTGTTTGCCCGCGACCTTGGAAAAGACTGGATAAAAAAGTGTAAGAATATCATAAATGGGAGGTTAGATATGTGGGCGACAATTGATTTGAGGTGTCATTCAATACTCATAGGTTCAGGGTTGACCTTACTACCAAAACATGCACTTGTTTCTGGTGGCAACTTAATAGAATTCGTTGCAGGTAAATATTTATGGTTTATGTGGTTAGTATTAGGGGTGTGCATGGATCAGACTGGACCGGGTTTGTTATCAACCCGGAGCTGGTCCAATAAAGACCTCGGGCTGAAAAAGACAGCCTGAGGTCTGGTCCAGTCCAATACCAACCCGATGTCGGGTTGGACTGGACTTGGTCCTCTAGACTGCCTGGACCAATCCAAGTAGTTTAGGACCTAAATTTAATTTTTTTAAATTTTTTTCCTTCAATAGGAGACAAGATTGTAACTTACTATATAAAATTTTGTACATATTTTAATCCAAAGTTCATCAAATTTAATCATTCTCTTTCAATTTCCCAATAATGTCATGTTTTATCAATTAATCCTCATTAATATAGATCTTATATTGTAGAAAATATATACGCATGCTCATTATTTATGAAGTTAATAAATAAATCTTGATTATTTGAATAGACAAAAAATTTATATAGAAAAATTAAACCAAATTAAAATTATATAAATAATAATTAAAAAAAAATGGGCTAGACTGGACTGGATTAACTAGTCTAAGGGGCCAGTCCTTAGTCCAGTCCAGCCCGATGAGACTAGTTCTGTCCAATCTGGTCCAGTCTTGTTTCGGGCCAATTTTTTTCTGGACCGGGTTTGCTCGGGTTGGACCGGACCATACCGGACCACCGAGTTTTTGCACAGCCCTAGTTAGTATATTCAAGGTGGAATATACATATGCATGTAGATGTTGTTATGACTTGCATATTCATTTGTGTTATTACCTATTATGATATATATGTATATATATTATACATACAGCGTCATATATATTACCTATTAATTCTCGAATATGCATTAGAGAAGGGTAGTTCTTGAATATATATTGGAGAAAAACAGTTCAGAGAAAGGTAATTTCATTAAGCTCTAGCTACGTCTCAGTTATATGCCTTCAATTCGGTTGAGCTCCTCTCCCCCTTGCAAAGCTTTCCACTTCCCTTTGCCCAACTTTTCTTCACCCAGTGAACTTTCTCCGGGTCTCCTCTTTCCTTTTGCCACTATAGCTTTGCTAGAACTCGTTCTCCCTTCGCCTACTAGCCCCTCGCCAGATCGTTTTGTTCCATTGTTTATGCCCTAATCGACAGCACTGTCATTTTCCTCTGTTCCCCCCAAGTATCTAATATGGGTCCTCTGTCTTTTTCTTTAAACGGGCACCTTCTTTCTTTCTTTGTTTTTCTTTTTTTTTAAATTTTCCATACTAGATATCTAGCTCCCATGCCACCTCATGTTGCCAAGTCAGAAGCCAAAAATCATCATAGTTGACACCGTTTGTACCACCTCAACAAACTGTAACAACACATGACTCTCAGGACTAACGTTTTGTAACGGGACTAATACCTCTAGTCTTAAATTTCAGGGACTAAAAGTTGTATTTTCCCTATTTAGAAGTCTCATGGATGAGCCCGTGAGATTTTGAAGCAACAGTTGGGCCATACTCTGGACGCTTCTGAGGGGGCCTAATCTATTGGGCTTTGAACCTCGCTGTTTAAACCCACAAATACACCCCCCGCGTTTTGCTCTTTTTTTTGGATCACCAAAGACCAATGCCTGCTGTCCCCCCCCCCCCCCAATGTCTTTTGTAATATTAGAAGAAGACTTTCACCTATCCACGTGCACCCACAGAGGCGCCTAATTATAAATAAAATGTGAATGACTGGCAGTCAAAATGCTTCTGTTCTAGCAGCTTAATTCTGAACACGCTCGATGCTTATCATCTGTGAACGTGCTCCTACCCTATTTCCGTATTTCGTGGGCATCGTTTAATAATGAGACAACAAAGTAATCTCCACGTGTTTCTTATCATGGTTTATGTATTACTT